GGGGATGAGGCTTTGTAGAGGAAGTCCAGTCTGCAAAAGGCGAGGGGGGGCCCACTGGGCCCTTCTAGATTGCTGCTGCTGCTGCTGCTGCTGCCTTGGGGTTGCTTTCTGCAGCAAGGGGAAGCAAGTCTGTCGTCTGGTGCTGCTGCGGCGTCTGCTGCAGCAGCGGTGCTGTCAAGGGTGACGATTGATTCGCAGGCCAGCGAGCTGGTGACGCTGTCGGACGGTGATGGAGTATGTTCGCTCATCCTTGTGCTGCGGCTGCTGCTGCTGCTGCTGCTGCTGCTGCTGCTGTTGCTGCAGCAGCAAGGGGCGCTCTTGAGACCTTCACTGGGACAGATGGCGGTGCGAGAGCTGCAGCAAGCTTCAGTGTTTGGCTTGGCCTTGGCTTGAGAGGCAAGGAGGGAGCTGCAGCTCCTCTCCAGTGCTGGCAGCAGAAGCTGCTCCAGCCGCTTTGTGTGCACCACGCATGCAGACACCTGCTCACAAACAGGAAACAGCAAACAGCAGCAGCAGTAACAGCAACAACACAAGCAAGCGCGAACCCCCAGGCCAGCGATGAGGATTCATCTACAAATGTATTTAGGTAGGAACGCCACCGAAGCCGCTGCAACCTCTGGCGTTTACAGGGCACTGCGGGGCAGCAACAGCAGTGCGCTCGATAGCTAGCTGCTGTGGTGGCTAGCTGGACTGGTAGCTAGCTGGTTGGGTAACTAGCTAGTTTGGCGGCAAGCTGGCTTGCTAGCTAGCTCGTCTGGTAGCTAGGTGGATTGGTAGCTAGCTGGGTTCGTAGCTAGCTGGCTTTGCAGCTATCTTATTTGGTGGCTAGAAGCCTTGATAGCTAGCTGGATCAACAGCTAGTTGGATTGACAGTCCGGTTGTGGTTGGCTAGCTGCATCGATAGCCCGCTAGCAAATGGCTAGCTGGCCGCTAGCCAGCTCTATTGCTTTTTTTTTCAGCCTCGCTTACTCTGAGTTCGCCTGTGGTGAGTGTTCCTGTTTTGTCTACAACAAGACAGTTGACATTTGCTGCTGCTTCGAGTGCCTTTCCCGTTTTAAAGAAGACTCCTCGTGCTGCTGCTGCTGCAGTTGCTGCAGCCACAGCAGCAGGAGCAGCTAATCCGATAGCGCATGGACAGGCGGCGCAGCAGACAGCCACCCCAAAGCGAAGCGCAAACAAAAGGCTATCCCATGTTAATACCCAGCTGGAGAGTCGACATGCTGCAGCAGCTGCTGCTGCTTCATGCGCAGACACAGGAGTATCCCCCAAAATAGGAGGAGATATGGGGGTAGAACGAGCCGGGCCAGTTGCTGTTAAGAAAATGCCTTGGGTTTCAAAGTGCTGCTGTTGCTGCTGATGCTGCTGCTGCAGCTTCTGCTGCATCTCGCTGCCGGATACACCCTCCCTGAGCTCCAACTCATGCAGACGCTGCCGCATCTGCTGCAGCGGAGACAGGGGGAGTGTGTGTGCAGCAGCAAAGACTTTAACAGCCCAGGAAACCACTGCAACAGCAGTGATGCACAATACTATGGGAATAAAATAAGTAGCAAACTTCTCAGCAGCCTTCTGCAGCGGCTGCTGCTGCTGCTGCCCCGTCTCCACCAGTCGCAACAGTGTCTGCAGCACGGACGAATCGCCAACCTGCGCCCACAGCAGCAAAGCAGCAACAGAAGCACCACCAGCGGCATCAGCACTAGCAGCATCAGCATCAACTCCAGCAGCAGCAGCAGCACCAACAGCACCAGCACCAGCACCAGCAGCATAACCAACAGCACGCGTTGTTGTCCTTCATCCTGCCCCCTCGTCAGCATATCCAACTTTCTTTTCAAATCCCCAGCTTGTAGAGCCCCCTGTTTCTGTTGTATGTGCTAAGAATTTGTGCTTTTGCGCTTTAGGGTTTAGGGTTTGGGGTTTAGGGTTTAGGGTTTAGGGTTTACGGGTGGCTACGGACCACCTGGATCTGAACGAAGGCGTCTGCATGCGAAGCGTTTCGGCTGCCCCCAATAACCCGCTGCCCCGCCACCTTGCAGACCCCGCGGCCCTCCCCTGAGAGGAGCCGCTCGTCTACATGCAGTAGAGAGGGGGCCTGGGGAGAAGCAGAAGAGCGAATACAAGACAGATGAAACCAACACGGGATGATTATAAAGGACAGATAAAAGAAATATTAAAGGGAAATGAGAGGCAAAGAAAACAAACAAAATACGACTGAGAGAAATACAGAACTTAGGGTGAACGCGAGAAAGAGAAGAAAAAGGTGATACGCCACACAAACCACAGCACAGGAACCAAGAAGACAGAGTAACAACAAAGAGGCCGAGTTGTCGTTACAAATACAGGAGAAGGAGAAGCGAAACGACAGAGCAGATAAACACAAGCACAAACAAATGCAGGGGTTTCCCCTTTATAAACCATCAGCTGTAGAGACAGCACAACAGGGGGGCGAGAGTGCAATCGGTCTATACTCT